TTAACAGGTTTGCCGCTTGGGTAGCTCCAGTGTTGGTTGACCCGATTTCTTGAATTAGTATGGGAAACCACGCTCTGGCCGCCAGTAGGGCTGACCAAAGTGAGTTGTAGGCTCTGTGTTTGTCTGATTTTCTGTAATACTTGAGGTATTATTGCTGGCGGCGAAACGCTGCGCGCATTGAGGCCTTCCCATGATAGACTTAGAGCCGCCCGCTGCCCAAGCTTGGGGGTCTGGGACTGGTGACACGTAATGTCGGTAGCTGATTGTTGAATCGCTGCGGGCTTAATAGGTCTATTAGCCGCTCCTAATTGCTTGATTATCTGTGCAAAAATTTCCCTGTTGATCATCCACTCTGTCGGTGATGGTAGATGAGGCCGAGAGAGAGAGCCGCCTGCTAGTATATTTCTGGTCTCGGAATGTGCACTGCTCTGACATGTAGATTTAGATCTTGTATTAAATCGAACAGTTGAAAGCTTAGGTTCAAAAGGTTCATCGATCTCGTTGAGCCTTGCTTGTTTATGTAGAACGCCACTGTCTCAATTGTCTGTATGGATCATTAGGCCGCATTTTGTTGTAGAAATGTGCTCCAATGTAGAATGGCGCTGATTACAGCTTTCATTTCTAGACTGTTTATATGGAGTTTGCATTCTTGCTGATTCCATAACCCTGATATCGCGTGGTTGGTGAGATGAGCTCCCCAACCTTGGAGTGACGCTGCCTACATACAGATGGGTTTTGTATTCCTGCTCTGCTAAACAAATCCCTTCGCAGACATTCGATTTCTTTGGTCCACCATAGTAGATGTGGTCTGAGATGTTTCGTAGACTGAATGGTTGTACATCGCTGAGATGTGCTGATGATGAGACCTGTAGGGGACGTAACTGTAATCTGCCTGTGACAGTCATGTCTTGGGCTGATGTGAGAAGACCTAGTAGGCTCTGCCATTGTCGAAAGTGGTAACGGAGAGATTAGAGCTGGTGGAATGGTCTGTTGTATCTTGAGCCAACGGTCTTCTGGTACCATAATACGGTTTATGATTTGTGATGAATCAATACCTAGGAACTGTAGGTCTTGGCGATGGTACTAGGTCCGACTTGCGTAAGTTTACTAACCAACCTAGTTGTGTTAGTAGCTTTATGATGTAATTTAACCGTAGTTTGAGACGAGAGGATCTTGATCTACTTGTATCCCGTCGTCGAGGTAAAACGCGACTCGCGTAGCCCTTGACGATGTAGAAATTTGATAATCGGTTTCGCTATCCTCGCGGAATAGCCAGGGGGCTGATGATATTCAATGGGAGTACTTTCCACTGGTAATGTAGCCCTTCTAGAGTAAATCGTAGGTATTTCCTGGAATCGGGATGAATGGGGATGTGCAAGTAGGCATCCTGTAGATCTATGCTGCCCATGTAGTCCATAGGATCTAATCATCTGGCTTAATCTGAGGTAAATGTATCATGCTAAACTTCGTGGTTTGGCGAGATAGTTCTTGTTGAAAAGCTCATGTTGTAGATGAGTCTGTATTTCTCCGCGGAGTTTTTCTTGGGAACTAGGAAAACTGGGGAGTAGAAACCTGGTTCGACGCTTTGCTTGATCTATTACTTCTATGGCCTGTTTGGATAGGAGTGATGAAACAGCCTCTTTATCTTTGGTAGTTGCTGGCGCTTGTAAATCTAACTTGGGGGTTTGATTGTCAGCGAGGCTTGGCCTGTAGAGGGATAATGAAACCGTGTTGAAGAATGTTGGAGACGTAAGGGTCTTGCAGCATTCCCCAGTTTTCCCAGTGTAGTTGGAGGCCCCCACCCACTTGAGCTGGTTGTACTGGAACGGCTGGGGTGGAAGACTCCAGTCGCTCCGAACCTGTGTTTCAGCTGCCTATAATTGCGGGAACCTCTGGGTGTCCTGCCTCTTCCTGATCCTCCTCTATAGTTGCCATATGGGCTTAATTTAAAAGAATCTTTACCTCTAGAGCTGGCTATCTTCCTGTCTCTTTGCTCTTTGTAGGCCCGTGAACTTAGATCTGCCTGAGTATCTTTGTGAAGTTCGACGAATGACGCTGGCTAGTGTGTCCATCGATCTAATCATAAGGACTTCCCTGAATCCTTAGAGACTTCCTTGGCTACTTTTGTTTCTTCGTCAAAGATGGATGTTGTCCACCACGGGCTGTATAAAGTGGGCTGTAAAGTTCTCCCCAATTACAGGAGGCGAGGAGGCCTTGACGACGAAGCTAAGGTCAGTGCTGCTGAAACAGATGTAAGATGATCCGCTAAAAACTGCTGATCTTTCTTTTGCATAAGTAAGGCAGAATAAATCATTCTATCATCTTCCGTCGTGGAATCCCGGAATCTAGTAATAAGAGTCTCATTGATCGCCCTAGATCTATTTAACCCAAAGAACATACGCCTCGGCCATGGTTTCTATATGAGCCAACTTATGATCATCCATCTTGTAAATCTTGTTCTTTACATCGCTGATGATCTTATAGTTCTCATCGATGTCCTGGGCCTTGTAGAAGGAGTCCATGTTATGCGGAGAACTTCTTGGCTTGAAAGTTGGGCAGATGTGGTATCTGAACTTTCGTGAGAGCTTTCTGGAAAGCTGCATCTAGATTCTGTGGCACTGCCGCAATCGGTCGATCGGGGTAGAGTGATTGCATCTGGATCATCTTCCTTCATCAAATACGCCTGAGCTGTATTGCCACTTTTAGATGGTGATGTGAGATCTAGGTTATTGACCATCCAATACCGTGATCTCTGCATCAGAAAATATGATTCCTCCATCATCCTCAAAACCATCATCATTAATAAATTGTAGATGCTCTTCGACTGCGCGTAGCTGTCTGTATATCTGATGAGGTTTGTGGCGATCTAGTTGACTTTGTGCGCCGCTTCTATGTGGAGATCTGATGGGTGATCGACCTGGTGATGAACGGAGTGGAGATCGCCTATGGGATGATCTTCTCGAGACTTGTGAGGTGAATGTTGATAGCTTCGCCGCTCTTCGGCAGTCCCTCGATGTTCTTCTAGACGATGAAGATCTGGAATCATATGTCCTTCGCTAATGCCTTCGCGAAGCTTCATTTGCGTCCGTCCGGGGATCGATGATATGACCTTCGGCGAAGGCTTCCGTGATGTCTGATGGTCTGAGTCCATATCTAGAGATGAAATCGAAGATGGTGATGATCTCCTCCCGCCTTCGCGAAGGCTGTACATCTAGGTCCTTCGTCAAGGTGGTGCGGACTTCCTTCAAGGCAGGTGACATCGCCTTGGCTGCTACGCTGACGGGGTGCCTCTGGGGTGCTGTTCACGCTGGAACCTTTCGCTGGCGGTTCGACTTCGCTTGCGCAGTTTGTAGTGGTCCTCCATGATGTTCATAATCTGCCGCATCATGTCTTCTGGGATGATCTGTGATTTAAAGTCGCCGGGCGCCTTTTTCGATGAGGTTCACATCAATGACGCCTGACGCCGGTGTGTAGAGGCATCAGGCTGCATGGAGATCTCTGCAGAAGTCACAGTCGCTGACACCGGTCGCCTTCTGTCGTAAGTCGGGATGATTATCGGCTGATCATCGTGAGAGGCCCAACTCTGCTGCTGGAACGATCTCGCTGAGAAAGTTCTTGCTGTCTTCGTAGATTTCCCTTTGAAGTTTATGCTGCCCTGGGTGTCCTCAATCTGCGCTTGAGATCGACGATGAGGCCCTCTTAGACTTAGTCTGCAATGACGGGATGTCTGGGGAGGCCGGTCGCTTCTTCGAGGTAACGGACTGGCGTCCCACGCCCTCTCCGCCGCAGGGGTCTCTAGCAGAACACCAGACGGAGAGGGGTCGATCGCTAGCAGCTGACTGGATGGAATATCTGGACTCTCTGCCATGTTTTGCCTTTTGTTTGCGTGATCTATCTGCAGCACGCCTTAAGACGCAAAGATGATATTTATTAAATGCAGAATGAGATAAATTAATGCAGTAACTGCAACGTGAATTAAACGCATTAACGCGAGAACAACTAGGGCATATTACATGTGGATCGGAGGCAGAAAACGTAATCTACAAATCGCATAGATTTTCATGAACGTAAAGTTAGCTGAACAATCACCTAATACACGTGGAATAAACAGTAGAAATAATATAATTAATCAATACAAATAGTAAAGGATACTAGCTATACCTCTATAGTAACCTATGAGAGGTAAAAACTAAGAGATTATCAAAGGATATGTGTGTAAGGAGACACAAGGCGCTCTCACATCCTGCTCACTGGGCGAAGAAGGAGAGAGTGAAGCACATGGCCAGAGGGTGGCGACACCTTTCCCGCCAGGGGAGACAAAGGGGAGCAACTCGTGGTGAGTACCAATTAGTGATTTTATTTTGAAGGGAGCTTCAAATAAGGAGATACAAGTGTTCCACTATGTTCGCAAGAAGAAGAAGACAAGCAAAAGAGCATGAGTCAGGATAAGGAAAAATAATGCTTTGGTAAACAGGGAAGTTCGATGTAAGCGTCGTTTCGGTGTTGATGCTAACACTGTTATCAAGCAAGTGATGGTGTTAGCATCTACACCATATCATTTCTTACATTAATAAAAAGACGTTGTATATCCATAGAACTCTCCCCGTTGTTCATCACACCAACTTCAAAATGCCACTCAAAGATGTAATGTTTTGGTAATCTATAATAGACCATGTGGATGCAGCACAAGGCTGCCGGTAACCACATCAACATGTTCTGTTTTAACTCACCATGTTGATGTGCAGTGATGACAACTCTACCATAGTGTGCAATATTTCTAATGCCTAAAAATATATACATCTAACAAGGTGAGAATTCAGAGCACCTGTAACAAACATGGACAAGCTGACTGTTCTCCTTCTTCTGAAGAATCTACATACAATGAAGGCACAGTGTATGTGCCACCACTGCAAATGTGGCCTAGCTGCACTGGGTTATTCTGTCCACCCATTTATAGTACAAGAGCAGTAACTCCACATCTAGTTCAGCTGCTGTCTTACCTCAAAGAAGTTGCCTGCTTGGTCCACTAACAAGGCATTGGAATCTGGTTTGTTCTTACAATAGGTCACATAAATAGAGAACTTCTCTGCCTGGAACAACAACAACATGAGGATTTGACATACAAATACTTCAATTAAATATTGCATACAGCTGAAGGGACACAAATAGTGTGTCTTTCTGCAATACAGACAGAAAATATTCTTCACTTTGACAGTATTTCAAAGAGGCAACAACTTCCAGTGGAGGGGAGATAACTCCAAGGATACACTTCACAATTAACGGTCTGCATTTGTTAAGCAGCAGTACGTCAGGATTAAACTGACTGAAATACTGATAAGTGTCTAAAGGTAAGCATCAAGGAACACAACATCAGCTTCTGGTTCGAAAACTTTAGTGACCATCCAGAATGCAGGATGCCACTTTAGTATAATTTCAACATGCAACACTCACCCACGTCACAAAGCAATGGCCAACATCTTCTGGAATTGTTTCATATTTCTCTAATTCTTTTAAAAATATGCTGCAAGAGAGAGAATAGGATTTCATAGCAATCTTGTCACAATTACAACAGTTTTTTAAGATTTTCCAATATAGAAGATAAAAGTCATGGGCAACAGATTTAAGAGATGCAGGTTTCGAGATTCTTCCATTCATCAGTCTACATACCTCTTATGGAATTCATAGATTTCATCCAGATTTCCAAATATAACTTTCTGTTTTCCCAGAATCCCTGGTGGTGTGTTGTTGCTGGGGTCGTCCATGACGTACATGTAGCACTAGGAGAAAACATAGGACATCAGTGTGCGGGCAGTGCAGGGTAACAGAACAACAAGTCAAAACTTCAGGAGAAATATTCATAACATTCTTTCTGTTAAGATGTACCATTTGTGACTGTGTGAGTGTTTGGGAATATTGAAGTGGCTCTACCTGGGTCTGGCAAACTTGTGACTGAAGGCATGACCAACATCACTTCCATCTGGGCATGGTGACACCGAATGAGCCATGTAATTATTTAGTTATTACTTATAGATGCTGGGGATGAATTGGGTACTCTTAGTTACTATTCCTTGTTAATGGGAACACCCACAGGGTTGTACATTGGTCTACATTAGGTATTACCTAACGATTAAGCAGACTAGCTGAAGTTCTACTGATGCACACATTGGTCCTACCTCAAACAAAACATTAACGCAACCAGATGCAGTTCTACTATTGCACACATTGGTCCTACCTCATACAGACGATTAAGGCAAACAGTTGCAGTTCTACTATTGCACACATTGGTCCTACCTCATACAGACGATTAAGGCAAACAGTTGCAGTTCTACTATTGCACACATTGGTCCTACCTCATACAGACGATTAAGGCAAACAGTTGCAGTTCTACTATTGCACACATTGGTCCTACCTCATACAGACGATTAAGGCAAACAGTTGCAGTTCTACTATTGCACACATTGGTCCTACCTCATACAGACGATTAAGGCAAACAGTTGCAGTTCTACTATTGCACACATTGGTCCTACCTCATACAGACGATTAAGGCAAACAGTTGCAGTTCTACTATTGCACACATTGGTCCTACCTCATAGAGAAGATTAAGGCAAACAGTTGCAGTTCTACTATTGCACACATTGGTCCTACCTCATAGAGAAGATTAAGGCAACCAGCTGCAGTTCTACTATTGCACATATTGGTCCTACCTCATACAGACGATTAAGGCAAACAGTTGCAGTTCTACTATTGCACACATTGGTCCTACCTCATACAGACGATTAAGGCAACCAGCTGCAGTTCTTATATTGCACACATTGGTCCTACCTCATAGAGAAGATTAAGGCAAACAGTTGCAGTTCTACTATTGCACACATTGGTCCTACCTCATACAGACGATTAAGGCAAACAGTTGCAGTTCTACTATTGCACACATTGGTCCTACCTCATACAGACGATTAAGGCAAACAGTTGCAGTTCTACTATTGCACACATTGGTCCTACCTCATACAGGCGATTAAGGCAAACAGTTGCAGTTCTACTATTGCACACATACTGGTCCTACCTCATACAGGCGATTAAGGCAAACAGTTGCAGTTCTACTATTGCACACATTGGTCCCACCTCATACAGACGATTAAAGGCAAACAGTTGCAGTTCTACTATTGCACACGTTGGTCCCACCTCATACAGACGATTAAGGCAAACAGTTGCAGTTCTACTATTGCACACATTGGTCCTACCTCATACAGACGATTAAGGCAAACAGTTGCGGTTCTACTATTGCACACATTGGTCCTACCTCATACAGACGATTAAAGCAACCAGATGCAGTTCTACTGTACTATTGCACACATTGGTCCTACCTCATACAGACGATTAAGGCAAACGGTTGCAGTTCTACTATTGCACACATTGGTCCTACCTCATACAGACGATTAAGGCAAACAGTTGCAGTTCTACTATTGCACACATTGGTCCTACCTCATACAGACGATTAAGGCAAACAGTTGCAGTTCTACTATTGCACACATTGGTCCCACCGCCTCATACAGACGATTAAGGCAAACAGTTGCAGTTCTACTATTGCACACATTGGTCCCACCTCATAGAGAAGATTAAGGCAAACAGTTGCAGTTCTACTATTGCACACATTGGTCCTACCTCATACAGAGAAGATTAAGGCAACCAGCTGCAGTTCTACTATTGCACATATTGGTCCCCACCTCATACAGACGATTAAGGCAAACAGTTGCAGTTCTACTATTGCACACATTGGTCCTACCTCATACAGACGATTAAGGCAACCAGCTGCAGTTCTACTATTGCACACATTGGTCCTACCTCATACAGAAGATTAAGGCAAACAGTTGCAGTTCTACTATTGCACACATTGGTCCTACCTCATACAGACGATTAAGGCAAACAGTTGCAGTTCTACTATTGCACACATTGGTCCTACCTCATACAGACGATTAAGGCAAACAGTTGCAGTTCTACTATTGCACACATTGGTCCTACCTCATACAGACGATTAAGGCAAACAGTTGCAGTTCTACTATTGCACACATTGGTCCTACCTCATACAGACGATTAAGGCAAACAGTTGCAGTTCTACTATTGCACACATTGGTCCTACCTCATACAGACGATTAAGGCAAACAGTTGCAGTTCTACTATTGCACACATTGGTCCTACCTCATACAGACGCATTAAGGCAAACAGTTGCAGTTCTACTATTGCACACATTGGTCCTACCTCATACAGACGATTAAGGCAAACAGTTGCAGTTCTACTATTGCACACATTGGTCCTACCTCATACAGACGATTAAGGCAAACAGTTGCAGTTCTACTATTGCACACATTGGTCCTCCTCCCTCATACAGGCGATTAAGGCAAACAGTTGCAGTTCTACTATTGCACACATTGGTCCTACCTCATACAGACGATTAAGGCAAACAGTTGCAGTTCTACTATTGCACACATTGGTCCTACCTCATACAGACGATTAAGGCAAACAGTTGCAGTTCTACTATTGCACACATTGGTCCTACCTCATAGAGAAGATTAAGGCAAACAGTTGCAGTTCTACTATTGCACACATTGGTCCTACCTCATACAGAAGATTAAGGCAAACAGTTGCAGTTCTACTATTGCACACATTGGTCCTACCTCATACAGACGATTAAGGCAAACAGTTGCAGTTCTACTATTGCACACATTGGTCCTACCTCATACAGACGATTAAGGCAAACAGTTGCAGTTCTACTATTGCACACATTGGTCCTACCTCATACAGACGATTAAGGCAAACAGTTGCAGTTCTACTATTGCACACATTGGTCCTACCTCATACAGACGATTAAGGCAAACAGTTGCAGTTCTACTATTGCACACATTGGTCCTACCTCATACAGAGAAGATTAAGGCAAACAGTTGCAGTTCTACTATTGCACACATTGGTCCTACCTCATAGAGAAGATTAAGGCAAACAGTTGCAGTTCTACTATTGCACACATTGGTCCTACCTCATAGAGAAGATTAAGGCAAACAGTTGCAGTTCTACTACTATTGCACACATTGGTCCTACCTCATACAGACGACGATTAAGGCAAACAGTTGCAGTTCTACTATTGCACACATTGGTCCCACCTCATACAGACGATTAAGGCAAACAGTTGCAGTTCTACTATTGCACACATTGGTCCTACCTCATACAGACGATTAAGGCAAACAGTTGCAGTTCTACTATTGCACACATTGGTCCTACCTCATACAGACGATTAAGGCAAACAGTTGCAGTTCTACTATTGCACACATTGGTCCTACCTCATACAGACGATTAAGGCAAACAGTTGCAGTTCTACTATTGCACACACATTGGTCCTACCTCATCATACAGAGATTAAGGCAAACAGTTGCAGTTCTACTATTGCACACATTGGTCCTACCTCATACAGACGATTAAGGCAAACAGTTGCAGTTCTACTATTGCACACATTGGTCCTACCTCATACAGACGATTAAGGCAAACAGCTGCAGTTCTACTATTGCACACATTGGTCCCACCTCATACAGACGATTAAGGCAAACAGTTGCAGTTCTACTATTGCACACATTGGTCCTACCTCATACAGACGATTAAGGCAAACAGTTGCAGTTCTACTATTGCACACATTGGTCCTACCTCATACAGACGATTAAGGCAAAACAGTTGCAGTTCTACTATTGCACACATTGGTCCTACCTCATACAGGACGATTAAGGCAAACAGTTGCAGTTCTACTATTGCACACATTGGTCCTACCTCATACAGACGATTAAGGCAAACAGTTGCAGTTCTACTATTGCACACATTGGTCCTACACTCATACAGACGATTAAGGCAAACAGTTGCAGTTCTACTATTGCACACATTGGTCCTACCTCATACAGACGATTAAGGCAAACAGTTGCAGTTCTACTATTGCACACATTGGTCCTACCTCATACAGACGATTAAGGCAAACAGTTGCAGTTCTACTATTGCACACATTGGTCCTACCTCATACAGACGATTAAGGCAAACAGTTGCAGTTCTACTATTGCACACATTGGTCCTACCTCATACAGAAGATTAAGGCAAACAGTTGCAGTTCTACTATTGCACACATTGGTCCTACCTCATACAGACGATTGGTCCTACCTCATACAGACGATTAAGGCAAACAGTTGCAGTTCTACTATTGCACACATTGGTCCTACCTCATACAGACGATTAAGGCAAACAGTTGCAGTTCTACTATTGCACACATTGGTCCTACCTCATACAGATCGATTAAGGCAAACAGTTGCAGTTCTACTATTGCACACATTGGTCCCACCTCATACAGACGATTAAGGCAAACAGTTGCAGTTCTACTATTGCACACATTGGTCCTACCTCATACAGAAGATTAAGGCAAACAGTTGCAGTTCTACTATTGCACACATTGGTCCTACCTCATACAGAAGATTAAGGCAAACAGTTGCAGTTCTATTATTGCACACATTGGTCCTACCTCATACAGACGATTAAGGCAACAGTTGCAGTTCTACTATTGCACACATTGGTCCCACCTCATACAGACGATTAAGGCAAACAGCTGCAGTTCTATTATTGCACACATTGGTCCTACCTCATACAGAAGATTAAGGCAAACAGTTGCAGTTCTACTATTGCACACATTGGTCCTACCTCATACAGAAGATTAAGGCAAAGGTTGCAGTTCTATTATTGCACACATTGGTCCTACCTCATACAGACGATTAAGGCAAACAGTTGCAGTTCTATTATTGCACACATTGGTCCTACCTCATACAGACGATTAAGGCAAACAGTTGCAGTTCTACTATTGCACACATTGGTCCTACCTCATACAGACGATTAAGGCAAACAGTTGCAGTTCTACTATTGCACACATTGGTCCTACCTCATACAGACGATTAAGGCAAACAGTTGCAGTTCTATTATTGCACACATTGGTCCTACCTCATACAGACGATTAAGGCAAACAGTTGCAGTTCTACTGACATACCTTCAGGCAGGTCTCCAGGTCTTTAACGTACGTCCTCTCTGTCTGCAGCAGCTCTGCCATGATGAACCTGCAGAGACAACATCGCTATTGATAACCGTGTGCATAACAACCTAGAAAGTGTCACTATTACCGCACATCCTGATAGTAGACAACCCTGGACACGTCAGTAGCCACACATACTGATTGTAGACAACCCTGGACACGTCAGTAGCCACACATACTGATTGTAGACAACCCTGGACACATCAGTAGCCACACATCCTGATTGTAGACAACCCTGGACACATCAGTAGCCACACATCCTGATTGTAGACAACCCTGGACATGTCAGTAGCCACACATACTGATTGTAGACAACCCTGGACACATCAGTAGCCACACATCCTGATTGTAGACAACCCTGGACACATCAGTAGCCACACATACTGATTGTAGACAACCCTGGACACATCAGTAGCCACACATACTGATTGTAGACAACCCTGGACACGTCAGTAGCCACACATACTGATTGTAGACAACCCTGGACACGTCAGTAGCCACACATACTGATTGTAGACAACCCTGGACACGTCAGTAGCCACACATACTGATTGTAGACAACCCTGGACACATCAGTAGCCACACATACTGATTGTTGACAACCCTGGACACATCAGTGGCCACACATACTGATTGTAGACAACCCTGGACACATCAGTAGCCACACATCCTGATTGTAGACAACCCTGGACACGTCAGTAGCCACACATCCTGATTGTAGACATCCCTGGACACGTCAGTAGCCTGACTAACTACGGGTACACATATCTGCCACCAAGTTATGTCACCAAGCAACTGTGTAAATGTGTCACTGACTCTCTGCAACTATGTGAATGTGTCACTGACTCTCTGCAACTATGTGAATGTGTCACTGACTCTCTGCAACTGTGTAAATGTGTCACTGACTCTCTGCAACTAAATATATGTGTCACTGACTCTCTTCACCTAAGTAAATGTGTCACTGACTCTCTGCAACTATGTGAATGTGTCACTGACTCTCTTCACCAACATAAATGTGTCACTGACTCTGCAACTAAATAAATGTGTCAATGACTCTATGCAACTAAGTAAATGTGGTACTGACTCTCTGCGGCGGGCAGATTTCCTCTTCTCCTCTGTCAGCTCCTTGGGTGTTCCCTTCTGGAGCTTTTCCTCAATGGAGCCGTCACTCTGCCGCTGCTCACGCTGGTCTTCCTTTTCTGTCTGCTCTGGCTGAAAGGCAAATAGATTAAAAATCAGGCAAACATCAATGACAGCTGAGGTTGTAAGTCCCAGTTGACCGTCAATAACAGCGCTCACATGCAAAGCACAAGGCCTTAGGCCCCTACAATTAACTTTACAATCACCACACAATTATGCTACCCCACTTGCACTAAGTGCAGGGGAACCACTCCCATCTTGTGTAAAAACTAAGAGTAGCTGCCCTTGAGTTATTGGAAAGGTTAAGGCAATTGCTAAGTGCTTGCAGACACCTTTTGTTATCATCCTTTTCTTGATTATCTAACTTCCAGCATTGAACTGGGTGAGAATGAATATATATCGACTAGATAGTTCACTACTACTAATCAATAGGTTACCACTGTGGTTCACTACCACAAATAATGATGTTTCTGACGTTCAACCGGTTGTGAATTCTCTGTGTTGTTTAAGAAAAAAAAGAAGCAATCTTTGAACGTAAAGCTGGTTACTTGACTTGTGTGAAACAGACCCTTACTTGTAAGCCATTTTGTCACAGGTTACAACAATCTTAGCTACCTAAGATTGGTCCAAACCAGATGTAAGTTTCAATTGTAGCTTACAATGATCTCAGCCTACAATCGCTTTGTGCAAGTGGATGGTGATTATAACCATAGCCTAAGATCATGATCTTAAGGATTTAGAATAATCATAGTGCTAAGATTGTTTCATGCAAGGGGACCCAGGACTAAGATGGCACTGTGGCTTATTCAGTGAGTGTGTGTCAGTAATGCTCACCTCCTTCTCGGTGACTCCAAGCTTGCTCTCCAGCTGTAGCCGGTACTTCTCCATGCGAGATGAGAAATCCTTGTATCGCTTGTCTACAGCTGCGCACCACTGCATGATACTGGTGGCATGGATGTTGCCCTTCGCCACAAAGCCATCAGCCAGCTGCAGCAGCAGCTTCACATTCTCCTTTGTCTCCTGAGGAACATCATCAAAACAGCAGGTGAAAAAGCATGATCATTACAATAATTCAGGTAAATCATAAACCATTCTGGTAAAATCGTTCATGTCTTGTCAGGTTCTTGTGTTGATGACTATTCCTATAATTCAGAAATGAAGCTAATCATACAAGTCATCATTGTATCTAAGTCTAAGAATACTACCTCTGTTACAACATTTCCATCAATCATGCACTTGGGGCCGTAATCACACTAAATCTTAACTTCAGTTTTTCAACTGAAGTCAAATTCATTGTCAACTATACATAATTAGTTGTACCCACAATAGGACCTTCAACCTACAGCTACTTCCATGCGCAAAAGGCTGCACATCTTTCCAGCATCTTTTAGTTAGAGATGGATGTTTTGGGAGGTGGTAGGGAGTAATTTTGATGTAATAGGATAGTTGTAAGTTCAAATTTGTGCCTTAAATTAGGCAACTGCAGTTTATCTTCATGCCTTAGTCTGTTCACTTGCTCTGCTGAGAGATCTAATATATACTGGGTGTAGCTGGACCAAACCATCATATGATGAATCTGAGCGTAGGTTGTAAGGGCGTAACGACATGTGTAGTCGGGAATCAGAGGAGGTGTTTCTGAATATAATTGGACTGATGGTATGAAGTGATAAATGGCCTCAAGCATTTCTGTGAATCTGAAACTCAAACCAACTCCCACATATGAGTAACATGCTCAGTAACAATCATCCTTATCAGAGTCTGTGTCCTGCAGTGGTACAGTGTCCAGATAGTCTGCATGGTCCATACAGTCCAAACACTCTGTTTGGTGCAAGTTTGCCTTCATAATTGCTATCTGTAGGAGTCATAGACTATAGGGTAAATAGCCCATGTGGCAATTGAGGAACAACATTTTGTCTCGATCTATCTGATTTAGTAGGGGGAACATTCGTGGAAACGATTAGCAGTAGTTACCCTCAAAGCCAATGACTACATAATGGAGGCCAAATGATGACAATTTGTATTCACAAAAAGAAACCAAGACGCAACCAAGGACTTTGCTAACAAGTTACAAAGTTCTCCGCAAGATATTCACAAGGGAGGAAGTGACAAACAAATTACCACATGGACTCGAACTTGTATCTCATGTGCTCAATCCATAATCCCTGACCTCAACCTTGGTAAAGTGGCGGATGTCCATCCAAAGTGGAAATGGCATTGCCACTGAAGAAATTAGCAGTTTCCCCTTGAATGTAGATGTAGTCCATCAGCGTTTACCAAATTTTAAGAACACAGTTTAGACAAAAATGAATGAATGTTCAAGTGTGTCTTTGTACACCTGAACCTCAATTTCGTAGACGTGAGACCAACTCTCTCCAAATGGAAAAGCAAAATGTCATGTTCTACAGTGAGTTACCTTTGCTCTGTTGCGGAAGTCATAGTGTTCCTTCAACAGCCCTTCTGTCTCCTGCTTGTTGGCCCCCAGGTGGGTGTGGGAGTTGAGGTACGCCTCTCCATAGTCGTGGATCCATTCCAGGGCCTGGCATGGAACAATCACGTCATCAGACAACCAGACAACACAACATCATCAAGCAACTGTTCCGTGAACTACAGTGACTGTTGGTGTGTGAGACCTCCCTACCTGCTTGGCTCTCTGCTCAAACAGCACAAACTGTTCTGGGTACTACAGTGACTGTTGGTGTGAGAGACCTCCCTACCTGCTTGGCTCTCTGCTCAAACAGCACAAACTGTTCTGTGCACAACAGTGACTGTTGGTGTGAGAGACCTCCCTACCTGCTTGGCGCTCTGCTCAAACAGCACAAACTGTTCTGTGCACAACAGTGACTGTTGTGTGTGAGACCTCCCTACCTGCTTGGCGCTCTGCTCAAACAGCACAAACTGTTCTGTGTACTACAGTGACTGTTGGTGTGAGACCTCCCTACCTGCTTGGCGCTCTGCTCAAACAGCACAAACTGTTCTGTGTACTACAGTGACTGTTGGTGTGAGACCTCCCTACCTGCTTGGCGCTCTGCTCAAACAGCACAAACTGTTCTGTGTACTACAGTGACTGTTGGTGTGAGAGACCTCCCTACCTGCTTGGCGCTCTGCTCAAACAGCACAAACTGTTCTGGGTACTACAGTGACTGTTGGTGTGAGACCTCCCTACCTGCTTGGCGCTCTGCTCAAACAGCACAAACTGTTCTGGGTACTACAGTGACTGTTGGTGTGAGACCTCCCTACCTGCTTGGCGCTCTGCTCAAACAGCACAAACTGTTGGCACTGTTCCAGCTTCCTCTTCTTATACGTCCAAAACTCGATGACAACGTTCTCCTGCTGAAGCAGCTGGTCCAGGGTGGCTACAAACAAACAACAACATGCGCTACACTGTTCAGGAGAAACATTTCAGGCACAATGTAGACATGTCCAATGTAGACAACATCGTGTGCTACATTTCAGGCACAATGTAGACATGTCCAATGTAGACAACATCATGCGCTACACTGTTCAGGAAAACATTTCAGGCACAATGTAGACATGTCCACTGTAGACAACATCGTGTGCTACATTTCAGGCACAATGTAGACATGTCCAATGTAGACAACATCATGCGCTACACTGTTCAGGAGAAACATTTCAGGCACAATGTACACATGTCCACTGTAGACAACACTGTGTGCTACACTGTTCAGGAGAAACATTTCAGGCACAATGTAGACATGTCCAATGTAGACAACATCGTGTGCTACATTTCAGGCACAATGTAGACATGTCCAATGTAGACAACACTGTGTGCTACACTGTTTAGGAGAAATATTTCAGGCACAATGTAGACATGTCCAATGTAGACAACATCGTGTGCTACATTTCAGGCACAATGTAGACATGTCCAATGTAGACAACACCGTGTGCTACACTGTTTAGGAGAAATATTTCAGGCACAATGTAGACATGTCCACTGTAGACAACACTGTGTGCTACACTGTTCAGGAGAAATATTTCAGGCACAATGTAGACATGTCCAATGTAGACAACATCATGCGCTACACTGTTCAGGAAAAACATTTAAGGCACAATGTAGACATGTCCAATGTAGACAACATCGTGTGCTACATTTCAGGCACAATGTAGACATGTCCAATGTAGACAACACCGTGTGCTACACTGTTTAGGAGAAATATTTCAGGCACAATGTAGACATGTCCACTGTAGACAACACTGTGTGCTACACTGTTCAGGAGAAATATTTCAGGCACAATGTAGACATGTCCAATGTAGACAACATCGTGTGCTACACTGTTCAGGAGAAACATTTCAGGCACAATGTACACATGTCCACTGTAGACAACACTGTGTGCTACACTGTTCAGGAGAAATATTTCAGGCACAATGTAGACATGTCCAATGTAGACAACATCGTGTGCTACACTGTTCAGGAGAAACATTTCAGGCACAATGTAGACATGTCCAAGGTAGACAACATCGTGTGCTACATTTCAGGCACAATGTAGACATGTCCAATGTAGACAACACCGTGTGCTACACTGTTTAGGAGAAATATTTCAGGCACAATGTAGACATGTCCACTGTAGACAACACTGTATGTTACACTGTTCAGGAGAAACATTTCAGGCACAATGTAGACATGTCCACTGTAGACAACATCGTGTGCTACATTTCAGGCACAATGTAGACATGTCCAATGTAGACAACACCGTGTGCTACATTTCAGGCACAATGTAGACATGTCCAATGTAGACAACATCATGCGCTACACTGTTCAGGAGAAATATTTCAGGCACAATGTACACATGTCCACTGTAGACAACACTGTGTGCTACACTGTTCAGGAGAAATATTTCAGGCACAATGTAGACATGTCCAATGTAGACAACATCGTGTGCTACACTGTTCAGGAGAAACATTTCAGGCACAATGTACACATGTCCACTGTAGACAACATCATGTCCAATGTAGACTACATTTCAGGAGAAATAAATGTAGACATGTCCAATGTAGACAACATTCAGGCTACACTGTTCAGGAGAAACATATTTCAGGCACAATGTGTAGACAATGTCCACTGTAGACAACATCATGTGCTACACTGTTCAGGAGAAATATTTCAGGCACAATGTAGACATGTCCACTGTAGACAACATCGTGTGCTACACTGTTCAGGAGAAACTCGTGTGCTACATTTCAGGCACAATGTAGACATGTCCACTGTAGACAACACTGTGTGCTACACTGTTTAGGAGAAATATTTCAGGCACAATGTAGACATGTCCACTGTAGACAACATCGTGTGCTACACTGTTCAGGAGAAACATTTCAGGCACAATGTAGACATGTCCACTGCATATGTCATGCACACTGCCAGCATCATGTACACTCCATAACACATACAACTACATCTTGAACAACATGGACAGAAGATGAACATAAATCTGATTTTCATAATGTCCAAGCTCTGAAATGTGTTGAGTGTATTGCCATCCTCACCCTTGACGTGCCCCTCTGGACTGCGAAACTTCATCTCCATGCCAAGGAAGTGGAGGTTTCTGTTGACATACTTCAGGAACGTCTCAGCCGTGCGCCGGGCCAAGGTGCAGGCCTGGAACACAGAAATATCACACATGTCAACAGCTGATTGTGTTCCCATGTGATCTTTTTGTCTCAACATCAGTTATCGGTTGCCAGTGATGTGTTTGAGATATTTACAATACTGAATGACATTGTTATTGCTCTGAGACACCTGTACTTACCTTGAGGAAGGCTTCTTTCTGCTCATTATGCTTGTTGATGAGCTGCACCAGGTAGGCCACCTTGTCTGCTATGTGCGCCTTCTCAGAACTACACCAGTCCTCATCCCGCTTGTAATCTCTGTCCAAAGACTCCAGCACTGACCAGACCTACAGACAACATGACATACTTCTCTACACACAGTGAGGCAGGCATATGTCTCCATTGAAACAGAGTGGCTGCAATGTGACTTCCTTGTCAACCATTCTGTTGGATGATGAAGTGATCAGACATATTGTCTCTTGTTCAAACACAGGAACTTGTAGCTTATTTTTGAGTTTCATATTTTGGGTTTGACTTGACACAAATGTAAACTTATGCAAACAAGATGTAAATATAATCCAGTTTGAAAAATGAAAGACCGCACACATAAACTAACTCATCAACATTGGCCTACCTGCTCAGCAGTTTTGTACCAGTTCATTGATGCCATCACCAGTTTGTGCCTCTCTTCTGCATGGTACATAAGTTGTTGCCATGCCAATGTGACATTTTCAGCAATAGCTCGCACTAATTCAGAATTGTAGTGTTGCCCTTGTATCATGGCCTCCGCCTTCTGGGTGACCTGCACCACGCTGATGTGTGTTTTCTACAAAACAGGAAACAATATGTCAACAATATTCTCAACCTCCGCTGAGGTGGGTTTTCTGGGAAACAATATGTCAACCTCCGCCTTCTTGGTGACCCGCACCACGCTGAGGTGGGTTTTCTACAAAACAGGAAACAATATGTCAACCTCCGCCTTCTTGGTGACCCGCACCACGCTGAGGTGTGTTTTCTACAAAACAGGAAACAATATGTCAACCTCCGCCTTCTTGGTGACCCGCACCACGCTGATGTGTGTTTTCTACAAAACAGGAAACAATATGTCAACCTCCGCCTTGTGGGTGACCCGTACCACGCTGAGGTGGGACACAATATTACAAGATGGATGCACAAAGCTGCGAATAAAGTAAACAGTGTATGTTTCCTATACAAACAACCAAAGGGAGATATCAGAAATGGAAGTATGTGAAGAACATGTTTTCTGTGACTGCGACAGAAGAGCACTGTAAAGAATGGTGTGTGTCTCACCTCGATGGCCATCATGAACTGTTCATGCTCCTTCTTGAGCTGCTCCGCCTCCAGCAGGGAGTTTGGGCACATGAAGCTGGCTGTCAGCATGGACTCGCCATTCCTCACCCAGCAGATCACCTGAGACACAGACATGCCGCTGATGCTAATGTCAACATACACAAACTTAACAGGCTATTTAGAGAAAACAACTGCACCATGATAATTTCAATACACTTGCCCCCAGCTGATTCCATGTACCTGAAGAACATGAAGAACAAGAAGAGCATATGCAACTGTTCTGAAATGACATTCACAAATTTTGCCCACTTCTTGTAATTGATATAATCTCATATACCCACTTTTGGTCATAAATACAGCTACGTAAACCAACGTCTGGACATAGCCTGTCACACCAAACTTGCCATTTTTCACCAATGTTTAACATTTAGGTTCAGTGAATAATAGTTCCCCCATTTCTCAATACCCTACACTTGCCTTTAATCTCCCTCCTGCAATCTGCTCTATTCGCAGTTGGCTTGACACTAGGATCTTTACCGATATGTTGGATCATAATACAATAAACAAGTTATCATACATAACAGCATTTTGCCACTATGGATAATTTGACAATACATTTACTGCCATTCCATTCTCATTCCCTTCTCAGCCTATACTCTACTCTATCTGGCTGTATTCATACCCTTCTCAGCCTATACTCTACTCTATCTGGCTGTATTCATTCCCTTCTCAGCCTAAACTCTACTCTATCTGGCTGTATTCATTCCCTTCTCAGCCTATACTCTACTCTATCTGGCTGTATTCATACCCTTCTCAGCCTATACTCTACTCTATCTGGCTGTATTCATACCCTTCTCTCAGCCTATACTCTACTCTATCTGGCTGTATTCATACCCTTCTCAGCCTATACTCTACTCTATCTGGCTGTATTCATACCCTTTCTCAGCCTATACTCTACTCTATCTGGCTGTATTCATTCCCTTCTCAGCCTATACTCTACTCTATCTGGCTGTATTCATACTCCTTATCTCAGCCTATACTTCTCACTCTATCTGGCTGTATTCATACCCCTTCTCAGCCTATACTCTACTCTATCTGGCTGTATTCATACCCTTCTCAGCCTATACTCTACTCTATCTGGCTGTATTCATACCCTTCTCAGCCTATACTCTACTCTATCTGGCTGTATTCATTCCCTTCTCAGCCTATACTCTACTCTATCTGGCTGTATTCATATCCCTTCTCAGCCTATACTCTACTCTCTATCTGGCTGTATTCATACCCTTCAGCCTATACTCTACTCTATCTGGCTGTATTCATACCCTTCTCAGCCTATACTCTACTCTATCTGGCTGTATTCATACCCTTCTCAGCCTATACTCTACTCTGGTCTGGCTGTATTCATTCCCTCTCAGCCTATACTCTACTCTATCTGGCTGTATTCATACCCTTCTCAGCCTATACTCTCTCTATCTGGCTGTATTCATACCCTTCTCAGCCTATACTCTACTCTCTATCTGGCTGTATTCATACCCTTCTCTCAGCCTATACTCTACTCTATCTGGCTGTATTCATACCCTTCTCAGCCTATACTCTACTCTATCTGGCTGTATTCATACCCCTTCTCAGCCTATACTCTACTCTATCTGGCTGTATTCATACCCTTCTCAGCCTATACTCTACTCTCTATCTGGCTGTATTCATACCCTTCTCAGCCTATACTCTACTCTATCTGGCTGTATTCATTCCCTTCTCAGCCTATACTCTACTCTATCTGGCTGTATTCATACCCTTCTCAGCCTATACTCTACTCTATCTGGCTGTATTCATTCCCTTCTCAGCCTATACTCTACTCTATCTGGCTGTATTCATACCCTTCTCAGCCTATACTCTACTCTATCTGGCTGTATTCATTCCCTTCTCAGCCTATACTCTACTCTATCTGGCTGTATTCATACCCTTCTCAGCCTATACTCTACTCTATCTGGCTGTATTCATACCCTTCTCAGCCTATACTCTACTCTATCTGGCTGTATTCATACCCTAATCAGCCTATACTCTACTCTATCTGGCTGTATTCATACCCTTCTCAGCCTATAATCTACTCTATCTGGCTGTATTCATACCCTTCTCAGCCTATAATCTACTCTATCTTCTCAGCTCTAGTATGTACTCATCCGGGTCGGTGGGGTAGCCTAGTGTTTGCTCGTCATGCCGAAGACCTTGGTTCGATTCCCCAAATGGGTACAATGTGTGAAGCCGATTTCTGGTGTCCCCTGCCATGATATTGTTGGAATTTTGCTAAAAGTGGCGTAAAACTAAACTCACTCACTCACTCACTATACTCATCTCCTTCTCTCTTCAAGAATCCTCGACTCATCTAAGCTCTAAAGTATAAAAGAACCGAAACTAAAATAAACGAGGGATTCTTTACAACTTCTTTTCAGTGACTGACTATTTGTCACATCTAGCATAACACTTCCTGCCAAGTCACAGCCTTAACACCATCCCATGATGTTGTGCCAATTCAGTTACTTTATTTAGATGTCCTGAGTCAAATAAGAAAAATGTGGGAAACTGTGACTATAGTTGAACACCACTTACTTATTTATCAACATAAAAAATTCAGCTGAAACATGAAGCAAGGGAAAGTTTTCACCGCCATTTCAAAACCTTTGTTAGGCTGAAGACTTACCTGTCTAGCTTCAATCTCGAAGTTGCGAAGGAGGACACACTGCTCGAGTCGGATGCGCTTCTGTTCAGCCAAAGTCTCAAGGTCCATCTCTCTCTCATGCAGGTACTCAAGCAATACTTGGATGCGGGTCTGAGCATCATACTGGGAGTCTGACATAAGCTGCACACCCGAACTCTCTGTCAACTAAACAACAGACAGTGAATCATTAACCTTTAAAACATAAACAGGTGAATTACACATGCACATGTCTTGAAATCTCTAATTGTGATCACAGAGAATCTGAAAGGGAGAAGAATGATATCATGGATAAATGTGCACATTAACAATATGTTATATTTTATGACTCACTTTATTTAGTTATTCTTATTCTTTATTTAGTATCTTATTCTTTATTTAGTATCCTAATAGCATTCTCAGAAGATCATAACTAGAATCAATATACGTGACATTTCATGTGAATAATGATGGCTGTGATGGTTTATCTCCAGTCCTCTAACCTGGCAGAGCTCCTGTCCTCGCTGCAGAACCTCGAAGGTGCAGTTCTGCATATGCAGGACACTATCGCTGTGCATCTGTAGCAGCTGCTCTGCCTTGCTGCCGTCGGTCACCATCTCCATGTGCTGAAGCTCCTCAGACCACAACTCCAGCTGTGATGACACCTGCAGAAGAAACACTCTGATCAAAAGATCTTGCTTAAAGACTATCCACACAGAGTTGTGCTAATAATTGCAGAAACTATCAGGAAGTTAAGAGCACATTAACAATAAGAGAAAGCAAAATGGTATAATGTATTTAGTCCCCAATCCTTCAGTAGCTTTGGCTGCCATACCTCAAGTGCATCCCTCTCGAACACTCGCAGCTGAAGACACAAGTCCAGTTTCATTTTCCTTGCCGCCCATAGCTCTTCCAGCTGACTCCGACTCTCATTCAGTTGGTGGAGCACACCTTAAACAAACAGGCCAGCATGAGCATACAGTGTCACACCCACAAGAATACAGTGTGTGACTGATGTGGTGTTAAGAGCACCCCTGTGTGTACAGTGTGTGAGGTGGAGTTGAGAGCAACCATGTGTGTAGTGTGTGAGGTGGTGTTGAGAGCACTCCTGTGTGTACAGTGTGTGAGGTGGTGTTGAGAGCACTCCTGTGTGTAGTTGTGAGGTGGTGTTGAGAGCACCCCTGTGTGTACAGTGTGTGAGGTGGTGTTGAGAGCACTCCTGTGTATACAGTGTGTGAGGTGGAGTTGAGAGCACTCCTGTGTGTACAGTGTGTGAGGTGGTGTTGAGAGCACCCCTGTGTGTACAGTGTGTCAGGTGGAGTTGAGAGCTATCCTGTGTGTAGTGTGTCAGGTGGTGTTGAGAGCACTCCTGTGTATACAGTTTGTCAGGTGGTGTTGAGAGCAACCCTGTGTATACAGTGTGTGAGGTGGTGTTGAGAGCAACCCTGTGTATACAGTGTGTGAGGTGGAATTGAGAGCACCCCTGTGTGTACAGTGTGTGAGGTGGTGTTGAGAGCACCCCTGTGTATACAGTGTGTGAGGTGGTGTTGAGAGCACTCCTGTGTGTACAGCATGTGACTGATGTGTTGAGAGCACCCCTGTGTGTATAGTGTGTGAGCTGGAGTTGAGAGCACTCCTGTGTGTACAGCGTGTGACAGATGTGGTGTTGAGAGCACCCCTGTGTATAGTGTGTGACTGATGTGTCAAGAGCACCCCTGTGTATACAGTGTGTGACAGATGTGGTGTTGAGTGCACTCCTGTGTGTAGTGTGTGAGGTGTTGAGAGCACCCCTGTGTATAGAGTGTGTGACTGATGTGGTGTTGAGAGCACCCCTGTGTGTACAGTGTGTCAGGTGGAGTTGAGAGCACTCCTGTGTGTACAGTGTGTGAGGTTGTGTTGAGAGCACTCCTGTGTGTACAGTGTGTGTGGTGGTATTGAGAGCACCCATGTGTACAGTGTGTGAGGTTGTGTTGAGAGCACTCCTGTGTGTACAGTGTGTGAGGTGGTGTTGAGAGCACTCCTGTGTGTACAGCATGTGACTGATGTGGTGTTGAGAGCACCCCTGTGTGTACAGTGTGTGAGCTGGAGTTGAGAGCACTCCTGTGTATAGTGTGTGAAAGACGTGTTGAGAGCACCCCCGAAGTATATCATTGAGTGAATGATGTGGTGTTGAGAGCACTCCTATGTGTAGTGTGTGACAGACGTGTTGAGAGCACCCCTGTGTGTACAGTGTGTGACAGACGTGTTGAGAGCACCCTCAAGTAGGTCTCACTTCCTGGTGGATGCAGTGTGACAGATGAGATGTTGTGCTGAGTGTAATTCCAGACATTTCGGTGTCAAACCAGCTTCTATCTGAACCTACTATTACATCCACATTAAAACAATCAAAAAGGAATTGAAGTTTTCATGGTATGCAGAAAGTGGTTGCTACTCTAGTTCCTTCTAGCTGCTTTCTGTACCCTTCCAGGACAGCAAGACTGTGTTTTGCAGGTTTAGCTCCACAGTATGTACTTTGACAGCCAGAGTAGTCCTACCCAGTGTATGCTGCGTGTATAATATATATATATATATATATATATATATATATATATATATGCAGTCAAGGATGATATAGTTCTATCCTGACTAACACTCACATCTGATACAATGTCCTGAGAGAATTCTAACTTCCATACAAAGCTACACTTCCAACAACACGCACTATCCTCTGTCAGGTGGTGGACTGGCAAACACTACTCTGGGCCTGCACTTCTCTGGGACTGGTTGTTGCTTTTGTTATTGTTTTTTTTATTCAGTGTGTGTCAGTAAACCTAGACACATACACACTAACCTTGGACAAATCCACTGTGCAAGATGACAGTGATCAGTTAATCCTTTGATCAATGTTTCTTGTAACTCAACTGATGCTTCCTCTCTTGCTACACATCCACCTACATATAACACGAAACCTTTGCCACATCAGAAAACAATTGATAAGGCTGAGTGATTACCTCAGACAAGAGAAATGCCAAACAGGAAACTTTGTCAGGTAATCTGAATGGTGTTACTACTAATTACATCTGTCATAAAATCATTAACTGAAAATCAAGTGAATGGTACCAAATATACAGATGTAAGTTTACACCAGCAAACATGGATGACAACAAGAGAGTGGTAATCATTGTATTGCATGCAAATTAGCAGTCTAAAAGCCCCGAAGGATTGTTGTTGATTTGATGATACAAACAGAACTTCATTGTTGCATGAATAATATATACACACATTTGCTGTTTACCAAAGTTAATACTTGTATCTATAATTCATACGGTGGAACATAACCAGTGTTATATATATATTATATCTGCACATGTGCACCTATCATTATTGCCTAGCAAGAATTGATTCTGTATTTCGCCGTCTGTGACATCATTAAACAATTGAACGGGATATCAATGAAGAGGGACGTCACGCTTGATTACCGTGTTTTAATGCACAAATGTACATGAATTAAATGGATAATAAAGAAATTATTAGACTCACAACCAAAAATGCCTGCACTGGATACTGTATTAAAATCAGACAAGAACCATCAGGGATATTTCCATTGATTGGAATCTATTGTTCTCTTCATCATTTGTTTACATTGAAGAAACAAATCAACATGTGCCCTTTGCAATGCATATAAACATTGTCTCCATGTTGATGTCCTTACAGGTAGTAGTCTCATGTCATGCTCAGTTGTGTTGGCCAGCAGATCATGTCACAGCAGCTAGTGAGACCTAGGTGGCCGTCTTAGACTTCCTGAGTTGATGTCCTTACAGGTAGTAGTCTCATGTCACAGCAGCTAGTGAGACCTAGGTGGCTGTCTTAGACTTCCTGAGTTGATGTCCTTACAGGTAGTAGTCTCATGTCACAGCAGCTAGTGAGACCTAGGTGGCCGTCTTAGACTTCCTGAGTTGATGTCCTTACAGGTAGTAGTCTCATGTCACAGCAGCTAGTGAGACCTAGGTGGCTGTCTCAGACTTCCTGAGTGGATGTCCTTACAGGTAGTAGTCTCATGTCACAGCAGCTAGTGAGACCTAGGTGGCCGTCTTAGACTTCCTGAGTTGATGTGCTTACAGGTAGTAGTCTCATGTCACAGCAGCTAGTGAGACCTAGGTGGCTGTCTTAGACTTCCTGAGTTGATGTCATAGATCAGTGGACCTTCAATGATTAATCCAAAGGAGGAAAACTAACCCTCTCACTGACAAATAAACACACACAAGTTCTTGGAAGTCAAGAATAAAAGCCACAATACTCTTCATGTCTTATCAATCGGAAATATAAAGTCATCATAAGTTGATCATTATCTTTCAAACAGCCTGCATCGACAATCAATGGGAGTTACACTGGTCAGCTGTTGGCTACACAAGCAAGTACCTGCAATCAATATGACCAACAGGCCAACCCTGCTTACAATGGGACTACACACAATCACTTCTGCCACATTGGACAACACTGAAAGCTGGACTAGTAGAGGCAATTTTCCTGATGTGATTAGTCAGGGACACTGAGTGCAGGAGTGGTATGTGACCCTGCGGCAGACACACTTCAGTACACAAGCTCCAAGAAGGTGGATTCACTCAAGACATAAACTCCCAGACCACAGACTAACACTTTACACAGAAACTCCCAGACCACAGACTAATACTTTACACAGAAACCCCCAGACCACAGACTAACACTTTAGACAGAAACTCCCAGACCACAGACTAACACTTTAGACAGAAACTCCCAGACCACAGACTAACACTTTAGACAGAAACTCCCATATCCACAGACTAACACTTTAGACATAAACTCCCAGACCACAGACTAACACTTTAGACAGAAACTCCCAGACCACAGACTAACACTTTACACAGAAACTCCCAGTACAACACAGTACAACAAGGCTGCATGACTGTATAAGACAAAATATGTCTCTACTACCTCCTTGACTGTCCAAGGAAACCAAAAACGGAATATGCAAATAAATAGCCCCTTCCAACTTATGGCTAGTGCCTCCACTTTTGGAACTTGATGTTTGTGGTTTAGGCAGGTGAGGAGTATCCCACCTCAACTTCATCAAACTGGAAAGTTTGGGATGGAGAGACCATATTGTTGGAATAACTGTGTTCTTCCATGAAAGACAATCTGCTGCTGGGTCTTGAGTTGAGACCCATTATTCCAGCCATATAGTGACGAGATCAAGTTTCCATTCATTATCATTTTAAGTCCAAGGTCCAAAAGAGTTATATTTAAAAACATATATATTCATTACATTTCTATTTCAAAACAGAAAATGTCATAGCACCAAATACAAAAGCACGCAATTTGTTATTCTCTTTACAAAGTTGCAATTTATGATACAGGTCAACTTCCCTCAGGTAGTTTACAATCAGATGCCCGCTCACGCGGGAAACCAGATCTTTCAGATTTCTCTCATCATAATGTGCATCCCTTGCAGTCGAGCAGAGTATACTTGATGGTGAACACTTCATCGCAAGAGACACACATGGGAGGTCCATCCCCATCCGTTTTCAGCAGATAGTCATGAGTAAACCAACTGTGGCCAATACTCGACATTGTCGTAAAATTACCTCATCACGTCTTGACTGACAACCCAAGTAGGTATAACCAATTGTTGGCTTCAATTCATGAAGTTTATTTCTTCCAACTTGGGTGTCCCACCTTTTTTGCATAAGGTCCCGAGTATAGCTTTTGATAGCGGGTTTGAAGTCACTGTACGGGATCAGCAGTGGAGATAAGACCTTGTCAAGAGCTGCTTTAGCTTCAGCATCAGCCTTTGTGTTACCTGCTATGCCTACGTGACACGGCAACTAGCAGAGGACGATGTCACATTGGCCAGTGGAAAGATCATTGTAAAGTTCTAAAATGTCCAGGATGATAGGGTGACTTGAAGTAACATTATGAAGTGCTTGAAGGCTAGA